TGATTCCCTGTCCCACACTAGAGAAGCCCCTCCACAGATGCCCATCTCTCTAGAGTGTAGTGGCTGAAACAGTGTGTGATAGTTTTTAATGTAATTGGCCCCCATAAGCTCATAGGGAGTGGCTTTGTTGCAATAACTATGGCCTTGTTGGGGGAAGTGCTTCACTGTGGGGGTCGGCTTTGAGGTCTCGTATATGCTCAAGCCATGCCCACTGTCCCAGTTCACTTCCTGTTGCCTTTGTTTCAACATGTAGAATTCTCAGCTCGTTCTCCAGCATCATGTCTGCCTGCACACCACCATGCTCCTGCCATGATGATAATGAACTAAACCTCTGAACTGTAAGCCTGCCCCAATTAAATGTTTTCCTTTATTAGAGTTGTTATGGTCATCGGGGTCTCTTCACAACAATAGAAACTCTAAGACACAATGCATGTTAGATACTTCCAGAAAGTGGACCCTGTCCATATACCCAAGATAATATCATCCACCAGACTACACATGTCTCCCCCACATCTACCACATCTACCAGCACTATCTCTGAACACCATCAAGATGCACAGAGCACTGTGACTAAGTCAGCCACAGGTGGGGGCTGGGAAAAGGGAGCTTCCTCTGATCCATCTAATGAACCAATCAATTAAACAAAGGGGGAGTTCAGAAGCCAGGCTCCCCACTTTTGCTGAAGCAGAGCTGATTATGGACTAGCTTAACTGCTGGAAAACACAGCTCCAGCTAGGAGAATTAGGGACATGTCTGTCCATTCATTTTCTCTAATCGAGTTCTTGGGAAATACACATGTAGATTAGCTCCTAACAATGACCCCCAGCTGATTGCTTGGAGTACCCTCCACTGTGCCCACAATGGTCCTGACTGGCTCTTTATGTCCCACACAAAGGCAGGCCCCAGTCCTCAGGCCTCATCAGGACCTTTAAAGTCCTTCCTGCCTTTCTCCAGCGACTCTAATAAACAGTAAATAAAAGCTCACCTCTCTTGGAGCTATGTGCAGAGCTGGGTAGTTCCAGCAGGAATTAACTTTGGAAAGAGAGTAAAGAAGCAGCTTGGGGGCAGGTTAAGGAATGCTGCAACTTTTCTGCTGTTACAGAGATAGATTTACTATGGGGAAGTTTACAGAAAATGCATTCTGTCCAAAGGGAAAGAACATATACGGACGACTGCCCTCTGCCTCAGTACCTCAGCCACCTGCTCTACCTAACTCAGTACCCACTAAGCCATTTGCAGGATCAGTGCCTCAGCTTCAGGAGCCTCCCCAAGGCTCCAGTCTCACTGGACTGGTGGCTCAAAGGTCATTCTCTGTGGACTCTGATCTCATTTCTTTCCGAACTAAACGGTTCTCCCCTCAGCTCCAGAGTTGCAGGATTCAGGAGTCCTGACAAGAGATCAAAGATGGGCTGCAAGCCACCAAGCACTTTGATTCAATTAAAAATCTCACATTGCAATAATAACCACAAGCTAGATGCCACCAGAAACTCCAGGATGAGGAATCAGCTGCTCAGAGTTCTAGCCCTGCCCCTCCATTGGATGTCTCGTTTTTGAACATCATTTCCTCTTCAGGAAGACCTGCCCTGTTCACTCACAGGATGTCTAGGATCCAATCGCCGGGCAAAAAGCACAGGGTTTGAAAACTCTACAGTGCTACTTATTTTCATTAATTTAGCTTATGTTTGCATTATAATTTCTTTCAGCAGGTGCCAGGACTGAACGTTATTAGGCAAATGCTCTACCCTGAGTGACATCTTCAACCCTAACAAGTTTTTCTTAAAATTCAAAGAAAAGCTTTCTAACCCGAACCAGAATTTTCGTTTTAAGCCAACGACAATTACCCCATGGCCTGGAAATTAAACTCGTGGAAACCGGCTGTGCAGGGGTTTGTGTGACCTCATTCAGGACAGTGTTGGTCCTGCAGAAAGATAAGGGTAAAGAAGTCTGTCTTGGTGGAGACCTGAGAGCGTTGAAAGGTGGGATTGGGGGGAGCAGGTCCTCAGCTCCTGGGGGGAGAGGGTCTTCTGCAGAAACCTTTCACCTAGTTCAGACTTAACACTTCAGCGAAACCGGCATCACCCGGGGGTCTAACCCTCAGCTTTGAGGGGTACAGTGGTCACAGTTGCCCATCAGCGACAAGGCCCTTAGGAATCATCTTCCTGCTGAGCCTTTGAGTCACCCTGGGTCACTCAAGCCTCAAGGGGCCTCCAAGGGGGAAAGGAACACAAGCGGATTAGGGCGCTAACCCTCAGGGAAGCGCTAGGACCTTCTCCCCAGCGAATGTCCTGACCAAACCAGCTTTGCGTCATCTGCTTAGCCTGTGGAAGTGACAGAAGACCAGGGTTGCTCATCACTGTAACTCAATTAAGGACCCCGCCCTTTCCAGATAGCTCTTGAGAGGAACGTTTGTGTGTCTTCTGCGGGTCTTGGAATATCCCATATTTGAGGTCTTTGGTTCTGTGGGCAGTTCGCGCTGGAATGAAGGAGCTGATCCGAGCGT